TTTGTCCACATAACAGGTTTTGTCCTGGAAAATTATCCTCAAATTACTTAGCTTAGTTGAGGATCCATCTAACTAGAATCAAATATCAGTGCAAAATCATATAGAAATATGTTTCTTTTAAGTTTCACGCTTTTTGGCTTGGTTGACATCCCCAGAGAATTGCTCATATGTAAGATTGATTAATATGCTAAGAATTACCAGAACAGAAGACAGCATTATACTTAACAACAAAACACATTCGGGGTCGTCACAGAAAACCATTCCAACCGAATTTCCCCCGAATAGCAAATCTCGGTGTCACAGACGTCATTTTTGACGGTTTCTAAATCCCGCGTATTTTGCCGGACGTTTTGATAAAATTAACCAACTTACAAATGTTTCCTAAAAATATAAGTTTATTTAGACAACTCTAATGAATTTTATGAACTATCTGCATACTACGATTTTTATACTTACTTCGGGTTATATTTAAAAATATACTTTTTATAAAACCTCTCGAAAAAATTAGCTAAAAACAAGAGAGAACGCTATAGTCGGGTGCCCCGACTATTAGATACCCGTTACTCAGCTAAAGGGAGTGCGAAGGAGATAAAAACTTTGATCCGCCGTAACTTTACGAATGGTCCGATTTAAAAACAAGAGAGAACGCTATAGTCGGGTTGTTGTCCCGACTATCTAATACCCGTCACTCAGCTAAAGGGAGTGCGAACGCTGTGTCGGGTTGGTGTCCCGACTAATAATCGTAACTCAGCTAAAGGGAGTGCGAGGGAGATAGATATATAATTTTTGATTGCGTATAACTTTTTAACGAATGGTCCGATTTGAAAAATGTCTTCTACATTTCGATAGGTATAAATATACACAACAAAATTGCATTTAAACTTCTCGGAAATCTTTAAAGATGTGGGCGCAGGACCCATTTTAAAATCGTTAGTAGGCGATTGTGGGCGTTAGAGGGGGCGTGGCGCTCGGCTAAAATAAACTTGCGCTGCGTAGGAAGCCAAAGAATATGTGTGGGAAATCTCAACCTTCTAGCTTTTGTAGTTTCTGAGATCTCAGCGTTCATACAGACGGACAGACGGACAGACGGACAGACGGACAGACAGACAGACGGACAGACGGACATGGCTAGATCGACTCGGCTACTGACCCTGATCAAGAATATATATACTTTATGGGGTCGGAAACGCTTCCTTCTAGCTGTTACATACTTTTGCACGAATCTAGTATACCCTTTTACTCTACGAGTAACGGGTATAAAAATTCTTTTACATTTTGATAAGTAAACACAATAAAACTGCATTTTTACACAGAGAAAATTATCAAAAGTTTTAGGTGCAAAATAAGGGGTGAAACATTTTAAAAAGTAAAACGGTTAATACAAATTTATTTTATTTTGCATTTTCAAAACGTTTTTATATGAAAACGGCACCTAAAACGTTGTATAATTTTCTCTGTGTATTTTCCGAAATATTGAAATTTTGTAAATCGTATATAAGCGATTGTGGGCGTTAGAGGGGGCGTGGCACCCTTTTAAAACAAACTTGCGCTGCGTAGGAACTCCTAGAATCTGCATGCAAAATGTCAATCCTCTAGCTTTTATAGTTTCCGAGATCTCAGCGTTCATACGGACGGACAGACAGACAGACAGACGGACAGAGGAACATGGCTAGATCGACTCGGCTAGTGACCCTGATCAAGAATATATATACTTTATAGGGTCGGAAATGCTTCCTTCTAGCTGTTACATACTTTTGCACGAATACAATATACCCTTTTACTCTACGAGTAACGGCTATAACCACAACAAATGTACTCCATTTTAGATCAAAGGATTAGTGTCCAAAGTGTCCAATAAAATTTTATAAAAATTATCTCTTTTACCTTATACCGTTAACAGCGAAAGTAAGTTTCGAACTGTTGTTACCCTAGTATTGGGGCTAGACCAGTTTAAAAAGTATATTGACATTTTGCAACGTTTCTCGAAGGCTTTGCAATTGACTTTAAAATTATGTAGGAAAAAGTTATAGCCAAAAGAAGAGCCTTTCCGGTGCAACCAGTCTAACCAAACTTTTCTCCCTACTCGTGCCCCACTCTTCCCTACGAATATTTTAGCTTCTATGTTCATTTTTTTCGGTGTATCCAAAAACAGAATGTTTTCAACTTATAGCTTCTTTTTCTTTTTTATACCCTTGCAGAGGGTATTATAATTTTGGTCAGAAGTTTGTAACGCAGTGAAGGAGACGTTTCCGACCCCATAAAGTATATATATTCTTGATCAGGATCAATAGGGGAGTCGATATAGCCATGTCCGTCTGTCCGTCCGTCCGTCTGTCCGTCTGTTTCAATACCGTTTGCGAGCTCAGTTTAAGAGCTAGCAACTTAAAACTTTCACAGTCGTCCTAAAACATGTGTACGCAGATCAAATTTGAAAACCGACCCGATCGGACGTCTATATCCCATAGCTCCGATAGGAACAATCGGATATAGCTTTCACAAAATTAAGATATTTCGCTCAGTGTAAGAGCTTTTGACATGAATCGTATTCTTTTACGCATACCTTGATCAGGGTAAAAGCGCGTGCCTATCGGACGTCTATATCTTATAGCTTCCATAGGAACAATAGGGAGAAATCGGTCAAAATTTGATGTTTTTCAGGATATTTCGGGCAGAATATAAGCTATTGACATGAAACTTTTCAAATCTTATACATACCTTGATTAGGGTAAAAGCGCGTGCCGATTGGGCGTCTACATCCTATAGCTCCCATAGGAACAATAGGGATACAATTTTATTTTTTTCAATTATAAAATATTTTGTTCTCTGCAAGGGTATTAAAACTTCGGCTTGTTGAAGTTAGCTTCCGTCCACGTTATACCCTTGTAGAGGGTATTATAATTTCAGTCAGATGTTTGCAACGCAGTGAAGGAGACGTTTCCGACCACATAAAGTATATATGGGCACTTCCAAAATGTCGCTCGGGACATTTGCACATCTTAAAAGTTGAAAAAAAAATTGTAAAACAATGGATTTTAATTTTAATTATGGGCTTTTCTTTTCACTCTTCCCAAGCTCTATTTTTGGTAAAAATCTTGATATTTTGTACCACTTTTAGTTTTTAAGATATCGGTAAAAAACTGCCGTATTCGCTCGGGACAAAAATAGAAGTGGATTTCGGGGAAGTTCATACAACACCAGAAATTAGCGAATTCTGATGGAATATTTTAATGCGATTTTTTTAGAATGTTGTTCAAACATGTCGCTGTGAAATGCTGGTTTTACTCAAAAATTCTTTGCCGTTTTTATACCCTTGCAGAGGGTATTATGATTTCAGTCAGAAGTTTGCAACGCAGTGAAGGAGACATTTCCGACCCCATAAAGTATATATATTCTTGATCAGCATCACAAGACGCGTCGATCTAGCCATGTCCGTCTGTCCGTCTATCCGTCTGTCTGTTTCTACGCAAACTAGTCTCTCAGTTTTTGAGCTATCGGGACGAAACTTTCGAAAACTATTTCGAAACTATTGCAGGTAGTATATATGTCGGAGCCGACCGGATCGGACAACTATATCTTATAGCTCCCATAGGAAGGATTGGAAGAAAAAAACTTTAAAAAATTCTAGCTTTGGTGTTTTTTGAAATATTACTTTCTACTTTTGGGGATGTTATTTTTTAAATATTTCTGAATTTCGAATTAATTATTTAAAAAATCGGACTACTATATCATATAGCTGCCATAGGAGCGATCAGAAAATTAATGGAAAAGTAATAGGAAATAAATTCTAGCTTCTTTGGTTTTTGTTGTATTATCTTCTACTCTAGGATATAACTCTTTTTAAATATTTCCGAATTTCAATTTTGATTTGATCAAAATCCGACGATATTATCATATAGCTGCCATAGGAACGATCGGAAAATTAATGAGAAATATTAGAAAATTTAACATTTTTGCGATTTGTTAATTAATAGGAATGATCTGCAAGGGTATATAAGCTTCGGCTGGCCGAAGCTAGCTTCCCTTCTTGTTTTTTTATGCAGTTTCAACCACATTCGCTCGGGACATGTCGCTCGGGACATTTTTTCCGACTGTTTTGTAAAGCGAATTTCTTTACCTCTAGCTCTCAATTGCTGGATGTTTTGCTTTTAACTTAATAGGTTAGCATGTGAATGAAGCATTCAGTACAGAAATAAATTAACAACAGAAGACAGGTCCAAAAAAAAACAAAAAAAAAAGCCAAAAACTGATTTTTGCGTATATTGGTGGGGTTTGTCATAAAAATAATCAAACTATACTCCAAATTTGTAGTTAAGCTCAGTATCCAACTAATTAGAAACTAATATCGGGGCAAAATCATGTGGAAATATGTTTTATTCAAGTTTCAAGGTTTTTGGCTTGGTGGACTTTTTTTTGGAAGTGCCCATATATTCTTGATCAGCCCCAATAGCCGAGTCTATCTAGCCATGTCCGTCTGTCCGTCTGTCCGTTTCTATGCGAACTAGTCTCTCAGTTTTAAAGCTATCGCGATGAAACTTTCCCGAAAGTCTTCTTTCTATTACAGGTAGGTAGTACATATGTCGGAGCGAGCCGGATCGGACCACTATATCTTAAGGCTTCCATATGAATATTCAAACAAATATAAGAAAATTAATTGTAACTTTGTAGGAAGTAGGCGTTTTGATTCTTGACTACTTAAAAACAAAATATAAATAAATAGATACGCTGAATCTGGAATCCCTGGAACTGCACCGAGTGAGCAATTTTTTATCTGCAAGGGTATATAAGCTTCGGCTGGCCGAAGGTAGCTTCCTTTCTTGTTTTTATTTAAGAAAGGCGATTTAAAGGGAATAAGATAAGATTGGTTAAAAGTTTCATTTTTAACGCAGTGGTTACAGATTTTAAATAATTAAATAAATAATAAAATTCGATAAAAACTAAGAAAATCAAAAAAAAAGTTAAAAATTGTTGATGTGTCCATTGATTTTATCCATTTTGCATAGGATATACGCGTAGCGCGGTCCTTTAATTACTGAGCCAGAAATAAGCGATCGCTATGCCTGTAGCTGGCAGCGCAGATTAATTATGATAAATGATATCATCACTTTGCTTACTTATCAACAAAGGACCAATTCACCATAAGCAGATGCTGATACAACCATACACACAAAGCCAAATAATAATACAAAGAACGCCGCAAACCGAGACCAAAGACTATGTCGAAATATCAGAAACTTGACAGCGCCATGCCTCCCACCGCCCACGAAGACGACTGCGAGGCGGGTTTTCCGTTGTATTTTGATGATAATCAGCCGGTGCCGGGCCTCGAGCAGACACCAGCCCATCGAGTCGCTCGCCTGTCAAACGTTCGTAGGCAATTTCATAGCCTCAACAACAACGGCTTGGATAGCGGAGACATAGCAACCGGTATAATCGGAATTTCGGAGGAGCAGACGTGGGAGGTGCCTCTGCTAGGTGACAGCGATGACAGTGCGAGCAATCAGGTGAGAGGGCCTAATAGACAAGTGCTCCGCGGGTCATTTATTTGCTACTGACCAATAATAAGCTATTTGTGTGGTCACTTCTAGCACTCGGAGCACGGGCGAATGGAATTTAATATGGACATGCAGTGCCGTAGCCGTCAGCCGGGATTCCGGGCCAACCTTAAGAGCAAATCCGCACAGGAGGCAAAATTTAAAATTCTGCTCGCAGTTTCCCTTTGTTGCATATTCATGGTGAGACGGCAACCGCCACCCTTCACCTACAAATGTGTGGACACATAGTGTTGACTTAATTGTGATACATTTCATGCCATTCAACGCAATCACCGCACTTGACGGCAACCGCAGGTCATTGAATTCCTTGGCGGCTACGTGGCCGGAAGCCTGGCCATTATGACTGATGCCGCCCATTTAGCATCTGATTGCATTAGCTTCGTCATCGGCCTTGTCGCTATTTGGGTGGGAGGGCGTCCGCCGGACGAGCGAATGTCCTTTGGTTACAAACGCTTCGGTAAGTAGCTAATTACGTTTGACACTATTCTCACGCATACCTGCTCTCTGACCATTTATTGTAGCGAGTGGTCAAAGTGCTTTTACATTTATGTCAACCATTTTTATCTGTCTGTCAAAAGGCAACACGAATCACTCACGTTTCCTAATTGTTTGACTTGCTTTTTGGCTATGGCTGCCAGAGGTCATTGGCGCAGTGGCCTCAATCGTGGGGATCTGGTTCCTGACCACCTTGCTCTTGATTGTTGCCGTTCAGAGGATATACTCCCAGGACTTTGAATTAGACGTCGATATGATGATGGTCATTTCAGGCATAGGCATAGCTATAAATATCGTGTAAGTAATAAAACGTAGCTGGGCAAAAAATTGAAATTTGGTGGAATTTTTTTTTGTTGTATAATACAATTGGTATGCTTATTTTGTAAATAAATTACATTTACAAATTAATTACAAATTACAAATTTTTTACACAAAAATATGCAGCTTTGAAACCCGATCAAAATCTTGATTTAAGAAATAATATTTCTTGAAAGGAAGTTTTATATTAAACCTGAAGTATAAAATAAAAAAATAACTTCGTTTTTTTTATATTGCATATTTTATTTAATTACGTTTCAAACATTTATCACACACAATTTTGACTTAAGATAACATTTATTATTTAGCACATGAGTTTAATATTGGTGGTGTATTTAATTCACATAATTTACACAGGCCGACAAAATGTGACATGGGTCGGTGTCCAGGCCTGCCACCATTTTATTTCGATAAATGAGGCTTTTCTAAGCATAAGTTGTCACTACGCCTATAGTCCATCAGCTCTGGTATTTGCGGTATATTTAATTTAAGAAAATCACAAATTTTCTTCGTCTTTTGGGATATATCTTCAAGAGTGGTCAACCAATTTTGGAAATCTTTTCGGAATTAAATAGTTACATGTCTGTTTTATACGGTCGTTTTGGAAAATTCAATCTAACTCAACCACAAGAGAAGGTGGGCGCATTCAAAATTTTAAAGTCACAGCAAAGTTTAAAAATCTTCATTTGTGAACAGCGTTTAAAAATTAAATAAAAATATTTTCTTCAACAATGCATTTTTGATCCAAAGACACCTTATGTCCTTACTGCTTAGGACACTCATCAGGTTTTTGTGAATTGTTTTGGAATTTTTAAAATTGTTTTTCTTACTTCCTTCACAGTGACGATTCACAAACAGTGCCCAAACCTGTCACAATTTTAAATCACATATTTCTAAACGATCTAAGTAGTTTTGCTTTGAATGTAAGCACATGAGCGTAGCCTACTAATCTTTGGGGGCTGAAATGCCTGAAGTGTTATCCCCCTCCAGCTTTTAACTTACGCCCATGTATAAATATTTTTAAAGCAATGGTCACTTGTGCCCAAAAATAGTTATGAGTTACGTAAAATAGTGACAGGTTTGGGCACTGTTTGTGAATCGTCACTGTGAAGGAAGTAAGAAAAACAATTTTAAAAATTCCAAAACAATTCACAAAAACCTGATGAGTGTCCTAAGCAGTAAGGACATAAGGTGTCTTTGGATCAAAAATGCATTGTAGAAGAAAATATTTTTATTTAATTTTTAAACGCTGTTCACAAATGAAGATTTTTAAACTTTGCTGTGACTTTAAAATTTTGAATGCGCCCACCTCCTCTTGTAGTTGAGTTAGATTGAATTTTCAAAAACGACCGTATAAAACAGACATGTAACTATTTAATTCCGAAAAGATTTCCAAAATTGGTTGACCACTCTTGAAGATATATCCCGAAAGACGAAGAAAATTTGTGATTTTCTTAATTTAAAGATACCACAAATACCAGAGCTGATGGACTATAGGTGTAGTGGCAACTTATGCTTAGAAAAGCCTCATTTATCGAAATAAAATGGTGGCAGGCCTGGACACCGACCCATGTCACATTTTGTCGGCCTGTGTTATCTATTGTATAAACCAGCGGTCGGCAGCGTCCTATTAAGTGAGCGTAGGGTATCGTTCTTCCCATCCTCTGCCGCTCACGTTCACTGTAGAACAGCGCACTTTGGGGAATTTGACCACTTCTTTCGTCCAAAACCCATTTTATAAAAGTCGTTAAACTAAAAATGTATTTTCTAGAATACTTTAACAGAAGACTAATCTTCAATGTTACGTTTCAGGAATTTCAATAGCGTCTCTGGTAACTTATATCTGTTGCATTTTCACGCCTCAGAAATTCGCCGCAATGCTGAGACTATTTAATTGCTAAAAATAAGAGTTTTCAAGCATTCTAATTGGAGTTTTTGGAAACAATTCAAAGGATGGTACAGTGCACGAAGTATTTGTGTGATTAGGCAAGTTTTATTTTTGTGACCGGTCTAGCTCGAATTTTGTTAAAGAAAACCTCCTTAATAGCAACTTAACTCCTAACCTTACCTTATTACCACCCTAACTCCACCGTTCTGTAAAGGATGACGTTTCCGACCACATAAAGTATATATATTTTTGATCAGCATCAATAGCCGAGTCCATCTAGCCATGTCCGTCTGTCCGTTTATATGCGATCTAGTCCCTCAGTTTTAAAGCTATCGCAATGAAACTTTCCCAAAAATCTTCTTTCTATTGCAGGTAGTAAAATGTGTCGGAACGAGCCGGATCAGACCACTATATCTTATGGCTCCCATAGGAATTATCAAAAAAAAAACTAGAAAAACCATTGTAACTTTGTAGAAAGTAGGCGTTTTGATTTTTGACAATGTAAAAACAACATTTTAAGTAGGCATATCTGCAAGGGTATATAAACTTTGGCTGGCCGAAGTTAACTTCCTTTCTTTTTTATCGTTTATTTTAAACATATCTAATTTATTTCCTATTACTTTTCCATTAATTTTCCGATCGTTCCTATGGCAGCTATATGATATAGTAGTCCGATTTTTTAAATAATTAATTCGAAATTCAGAAATATTTAAAAAATAACATCCCCAAAAGTAGAAAGTAATATTTCAAAAAACACCGAAGCTAGAATTTTTTTAAGTTTTTTTCTTCCGATCCTTCCGATGGGAGCTATTCTTATAGTTGTTCGATCCGGTCGGCTCCGAAATATATACCACCTGCAATAGAAAGAAGACTTTTGCGAAAGTTTCGTCCCGATAGCTCAAAAACTGAGAGACTAGTTTGCGTAGAAACAGACAGACGGACAGACGGACGGACAGACGGACATGGCTAGATCGACTCGTCTTGTGATGCTGATCAAGAATATATATACTTTATGGGGTCGGAAACGTCTCCTTCACTGCGTTGCAAACTTCTGACTGAAATCATAATACCCTCTGCAAGGGTATAAAAATCCGTCGGTAAACAGTCTACCTGGCAGTGTTACCAATTAGCTAGAACTTTAAAATACCAAATTTGTCCAAATTTCGGAGTAAGTTATCGAAATGTTTCGTTAACGAATTACACAGGCCGACAAAATGTGACATAGGTCGGTGTCCAGGCCTGCCATTATTTTATTTCGATAAATGAGGCTTTTCTAAGCATAAGTTGCCACTACGCCTATAGTCCATCAGCTCTGGTATTTGCGGTATCTTTAATTTAAGAAAATCACAAATTTTCTTCGTCTTTTGGGATATATCTTCAAGAGTGGTCAACCAATTTTGGTAATCTTTTCGGAATTAAATAGTTACATGTCTCTTTTATACGGTCGTTTTGGAAAATTCAATCTAACTGAACCACAAGAGAAGGTGGGCGCATTTAAAATTTTAAAGTCACAGCAAAGTTTAAAAATCTTCATTTGTGAACAGCGTTTAAAAATTAAATAAAAATATTTTCTTCTACAATGCATTTTTGATCCAAAGACACCTTATGTCCCTAATTTTTAGGGCACTCATCAGGTTTTTGTGTATTGTTTAGGAATTTGTAAAATTGTTTTTCTTACTTCCTTCACAGTGACAATTCACAAACAGTGCCCAAACCTGTCACAATTTTAAATATCATAATTCTAAACGATCGAAGTAGTTTTGCTTTGAGTATAAGCACATGAGCGTAGCCTACTAATCTTTGGGGGCTGAAATGCTTGAAGTGTAATCCCCCTCCAGCTTTTAGCTTACGCCCATGTATAAATATTTTTAAAGCAAGGGTCACTTGTGCTCAAAAAAAGTTATGAGTTACGTAAAATAGTGACAGGTTTGGGCACTGTTTGTGAATCGTCACTGTGAAGGAAGTAAGAAAAACAATTTTACAAATTCCTAAACAATACACAAAAACCTGATGAGTGCCCTAAAAATTAGGGACATAAGGTGTCTTTGGATCAAAAATGCATTGTAGAAGAAAATATTTTTATTTAATTTTTAAACGCTGTTCACAAATGAAGATTTTTAAACTTTGCTGTGACTTTAAAATTTTAAATGCGCCCACCTTCTCTTGTGGTTCAGTTAGATTGAATTTTCCAAAACGACCGTATAAAAGAGACATGTAACTATTTAATTCCGAAAAGATTACCAAAATTGGTTGACCACTCTTGAAGATATATCCCAAAAGACGAAGAAAATTTGTGATTTTCTTAAATTAAAGATACCGCAAATACCAGAGCTGATGGACTATAGGCGTAGTGGCAACTTATGCTTAGAAAAGCCTCATTTATCGAAATAAAATGGTGGCAGGCCTGGACACCGACCCATGTCACATTTTGTCGGCCTGTGTTATTTATTCAAAGGTACTTAGTATTGTAGTTAAAAATGAAACTTATTTCTGGTAAAAATTGTATGGTAAAAGAAGTTGTAGTTATTGAGACATTAATAAAAACAGGCCGCCTTTTGCAAAAAGTTGGCGTCACTGTCGTGAAAAAATGTCCTATTTTTGCCTGCTAAAACGCTGGCTGTGAAGAAGAAGAAGACATGTAAGTAAAAAAGTACAACATTTTTGTTTATTATTAATTTAAACTAATAAGCTTTGCTACTTTTCAGGGGTAAACATAGGTCACCAGCGCAAGACACCATATTCTTCCGGTTCATTCGCGATAATATCGACATTGCCAAAGGATTTACTCAGGGCGGCCGCATTCTTGTGACCACTGCTTGAAAGGACCTGGCCAATGAGCTAAATCCCCATGGACTACCATGTAAAACCGTTTGTAAGGATTTCCTCTGCGTCCTAGCCTCTCGCAGTTTATGCCTTCGCGGCCGCATTCTTGTGACCACTGCTTGAAAGGACCTGGCCAATTAGCTAAATCCCCATGGACTACCATGTAAAACCGTTTGTAAGGATCTCCTCTGCGTCCTAGCCTCTCGCAGTTTATGCCTTCGCAAGTACTCTAGAGCAGACGGCATTTTGGTTCGCTTTTAAAATTCTT